ACTCGAAAACCAGACTATCTTACTGAAACTGTAAATGTCTTATTAGTGAACTCTACTATAATAACAATATTTCAATTCATATAAACAGTAACAAAAAAATTTGTTAATTTTCACCAAATATTAACCAGATTTTATTTTAATTTAGGTAATGTTGCTTTAACAATCAATTTCCTAAACAAAAAAATATATCACCCATAACTACATAAATGAACACAAAAATAACATACACCCAATTGGATAGTTGTTACGAACACGTTACGAATTAGAATAAATTAAGCAGAAACAAGTTTACATTTTGTCTTTATTTTTGCAGGGAGTTTCATAATAATTTGACTTTTAAATTAGTATTATTAAGAAGTCTATATAGAGTGTTATAATATGAAAATTATAATACGCTTAAAAAATAGTATATTATGTATCAAGTTTAATAAATAAATCAATCATTTTTAGATAATAATAAGTATTTGTCGTAGAAAAAGTATAGCATGCAACTCACTCATTTAATTAAGCACTCGTTGCCAAGCTTGCTCGTGCCTAAATAAAATTCGTGACTAAAATGGCGTTTATCAACAAAGCCAGATATCGAAAAAAACGCAATTTAGTAAATTGACCAAGGAATCTAATTTGAATATTAAACAAAACAGTGAAATAATTATTATAACTATTAAACTTTTGGTCTAAAACAGGATTATCATATGTGTATTCTTTCATCAAAATATTTAAAATACTACACTTAATCCCTAATTTAAATGACCTATTTTAAAATAGATATTATTATTGAACGATTTATTACCTGTCGGATTATAAAACAATTATTTATCTTCTTAACATAAATAACTTTACAATCTGCTACCTAATTTTGTAGTAAAAATTATACATTGCATTTTATTTAACAGATTAATACTGTTACGAATTAAAGTATTATTAAAAACTAAGAACAAATCTCTAAAAGTGACTAGTTCTCAAAGTGAAAATCAGTCACTATAGTCCACAGCAACTTGTATCCCTGATATTTAACAGTCAATTCTTAATTGAAATTTTCCCCTGTATCTGAGAAAACCGTAAAAAATTATGAAACCAGACCAGTCAATTCCATATTATCTGAAAAATTGACTACCTACATCTCAAAATCTGTTCTATTCTACTTTTATCTTTTGATTTTTCGGATTCAGTGGACAATTGTACATAGGAATTGACTGCTAAATGTCCGGGATATAAATTGTTTTTGACGACTATTTCCCTCGTCTTAATTTCCACCAATCACAAACGCGCAATTTTGAATTACAAATGGTTTCTAGGTGAAAAAACTGTGTGACAGCACCTGTCAGTAGTTTATTCGAGTTTACCCGCGGCAAAACTTGACAGCTGTTGTCACCAAAAATTGCAATTTATATTTTAATTGTTAACTGTTACTCATGAAATAGTCTTGTCAAATACCATTCGGGCATCTAATTTTTCCTGTGAAAAAAATCGAAAAAACACAATGCTAAGTAATATTTTTTAACAAAAAGCATTCGTGCAGGTGCAAAAATCCTCCTCTTCGACTCGGATTTTTGTTGCCACCAGCACTCATGCTTTTTGTTAAAATATCACTTAGCAACGTGTTTTTTCGATTCTTTTCGGAAAAATTAAATGCCCTTATGATATTACTTACGAGAATTATTAGTGGCTGCTTTTTTGATTTGACAATTAGTCATTTTTGAATAATTTATTTTTAGAGAGAATATAAAAACAAATGAGTAGCAATATAAATTGAAGGGACAAGTGGATAAAGGGGTTAAGTAATATTTCAATAATAAAGGACAACAAATATTGTACCAACATTATATTTTATTACAATAACAATATTTTTTGTCTATAAAATTGTTTTTTGAGATTTTCATAAAAAATGCACTGTAATAATCAATTTTAAAGTTATTAATGCGTTTTTGAAAGAATCTATGAAAAATAATTATAGTTTATTTTTTATGAAAATCTCATAAGCGAGCTCGTGAGATACAAAATACGCTTTGGTGTATAAAAATTATTTTCTTGAAATCTTAGCTGTAAAAGAAGCTGAAATTATTTGTTTACGTGTCTGATTCCTAATAGAATCATTTATTAAATTTTAGACATGAAAACTTCAAATACTACCTTAAATATGCCAACCCTTACAAACATTGGATTTTTTAATCTATCGACCCTTTAATCCTTTTATTGCACGAGTGATATTTTTACCTGTTACCTGTTACATTGCGTAATTGATTTAACAGTTTTCATAAATTTTATGTTATTTATAATTTCCTTTGTTTTTAGGTACGTACATAGCTACTATAACCTTGGAAACACGTATGCATACGTAAAATGGTAAGACCAAAATTTATATATTTTTTGAATAATCATTTGAAGCCATCACAACCAAAAATTACTTAAAACATATGTATGTACTCCCTTAAAATGAATTAGTCAAAAATGACTAATTGTCATAGCGAAAAAGCAGCCACTAATAATTATAGTCAACAGCAATTTGTATCACGGACATTTAGCAGTCAATTTCTATGTAATTGTCCAATGAATCCGAAAATGTAGTCAAAAGTTATAAAAGTAGAACAGTTTTTGAGATATTGTCAATTTACCATATATGATGGAATTGACTTTATCTCAAAAACTTATACTTTTGACAACATTTTCGGATTTAGCGGACAACTTTACAAAGGAATTGACTGTTAATAATATTATCTTTATTAGCCAGAATGCTATACACAAAACAGTAAATAGTTTAAAATAAATAATTAACATAATATAGAAAAATAAATAAATCATAGGGACTTAAGACAATATACATTATGACAAATCAAAGTAGTGATAATATATGAGATTTTATACAATTCGTAAAAGTTGTGATATCACAACATTGTTGTATATCTGGGGATAGTTTATTAAATTCAATCATACCCTTGTACATACGTAGTAAAATTTGACATTTGTACTGTTTTATATCTATCAAGTTGGAAATGTTTATATTACGAGTAATATAATTGTGGACATTTCGCACATATTTAATATTATCGGACAAGTAATCAGGTACTAAATTGTTCTTAACCTTAAAAATATACAACATAACATGAACATAATTTTTTTGTTTTACAGACAAAATATTAAGGACATTTAACATGGATACAAATTGATGTGGACTGTACTTAGTGGCTGCTTTTTTGCTATTACAATTAGTCATTTTTGACTAATTCATTTTAGCCTGTTTTTATATATGTTACGGCTAATGTGCAAACTTGGATAGTTTATAAACTAGCTGGATAGGTTATAAACTAGCCAAACTGTCAGCTATTTTAATTGAAAATGTATTTTCAACTAAATTAGCGGCTAGTTTACAAAATAACCAAGGATCTTGGCTAATTTACTTGAAATTATTAGGGAAAATAAAATAGCTGGATAGTTTGTATACTATCCAATTTAATTTGGCTACTATGAAAACCAAAATTTTTAGTAACACAAAACAACCAAGCTTTAGCTAGTTTGTAAACTAACCAACTAATTCTCTGGCTATTGCCCATTTTAGTTGGGTTTGGGTCGGTAGGGTTGTGTTGTTGAGTTTTCTAACAAGGAAGCGTTAAAATTTTAAAAACGTTAAAATGCACAAAAACAATTCCGTAACCTCACTTTTTTAATAAATTAGCCAGAGAATTGGTTGGTTAGTTTACAAACTAGCTAAAGCTTGGCTATTTTGTGTTACTAGAAATTTTGGTTTTCATATTAGCCAAACTGAATTGGATAGTATACAAACTATCCAGCTATGTTAAATGGAAAATTGACTATATCTTAAGAACTGTTCTATTTATAGCGGAAAATTTTATATAGAAATTGACTGTTAAATTTCTACATCCTTTTTTTACTTTAACTATGGTTGCCATAGTCAAAAATAACTATACTCATTTTAAGAGAGTAGTTAAACTGTTTAATATTTTTAATCCAAAAATATAAAAAAAATCGTGCACATTTCTATAAAAAAAGTTTGCCAAAACCAAAGTTAAGCCAGAACCAAGCTTCCTTAAAGAAAATCGGGATAATTCGTGGCTGTTTCACAAGAAAGCCCTGCTAATTTGTATCAATTACCTTCTGGCAGCAGCGACGCGTCGCTTTTTCTCAGCGGCTCCAGTTTCATAATTATAATTATTTTACAGATAATAACTTAATAAAGCGAGTTTTACGCGCTCCGCTGCATTTATCATTATGATTGATTATTTGCTAAACATTTCGTAAAATTGATTTACATCGCGAATTAAACCTGCCCCTAAAGAGGACGTTAGTTTCAGGGGAGAACAAAATTATCATTTAGTTTTAATGCTTGGAATTATGTCGATGAATTTATAAATATTAAAATTGCGAATAAACACTGTAAACTGGTATTTACAATATTTTCAAATGAACACAATGTCTAAAATCCAAGCCGCACAAAACATCACATTATCATGCCGGGCCCCATCGCATCGGTTTCTCCCAATTACTAAGGATTCATTAGCGAATTTCAAGAATTCTCTTTTAGCTGAGGAGAGGGAACAGCTGCTTCCCTAATGAACAGCCGCAGACTAGGAATGTGTGTTTCCTACATTAAATAAATGCAATATTGCATATTGTAGCTATACCCGCCAGGCAGACCCTAATTGCCCGAATTGCCAGCCCGTGACGCACTTAAAATTCTTCTCATGAATTATTAACAATCTTTTTGTCAAAAATTATCCATAACAAAATATTCTGCTTTAATTTCCTGGTCAAACTTAATAAATTAGATTGTTCTTGTTTATTTCAAAAATCGACCTTAATCCCTTGTTATTGCATCATTTATTACCTGACAAAACGCAAAATGCATATAACAATCTGCTACCTAACCAAAAACGGATTTTTTAATCCTTGCATCCTTCATCAAGGTATATTATTCTACCCTTAAATACTCAATTTTGGAAAAATATAATTAGTCTTGTTTTGTGCTTTAACAAATACGAATCATGGAGAATATTTCTGATAACGATCTTCTACAAAACGTTTATTCATTTTGGAACGAACAAGTCCAGAGGTATCCGTACTTGGCCAACCCGCAGCAGCCATATGAAGATAATTATTACTGTGGTAATAATTTTGAACAGCAACCTCATTCTAGCAAGGTTAATGATACGTGGACCCAGCCTCAAGAAGCCTTACACCAATCCTTCCAGGACAATTCCTACGTACACGGAGAAGGCTATTCTCAGGTGTACGTACCAGTCCTAGAAGATACTACTAATCAGCATGCCAACTTACCAGTGGAGCTTGACATCGATCAAATTATACAGGATAACGCTCAATATCCTGCTTCTGCTAGCGAAATTGAAGAGATATTGAATATTGGTTTGTGTGAACCAAACCATATTGTACCGAATGAACAGGAGAAAGTACAATCTCAAATACTAATTACTACTCCGTACTCAACGTTTACAGTACCTGTAGAGAAGCCGACTGTGTTCGACTGCGAGGTCTGTTCGAAGACCTTCTCCAAGGGATCCTACTTAACTCAACACCGGAAGGCCTGCCACTCGGGCGATAAGCCCTTCAAATGCAAAAAATGTGGCAAACGATTTTCGTCAAAGGAAGAATGTGATGTGCACTACCAAAAACACATGGGATCGAAGCAATTCCAGTGCAAGTTCTGCGAGAAACAATTTAACTATAAAATCGACATACGGCGTCATGAAAGCCTACACACAGGGCAAAAACCGTATGCTTGCAGCGTTTGCGCGAAAGGATTCGACAGGCGGGATCACATGAGAAGGCACGAACTGATTCATGCTAGGAAAGGACAGAAAAGTGTTAAAACTACTAATAAATGATTTTTATATATAATTGTTGTTTTTGTGCGGTTTGAATTTTTTAATCCTCCCATCCTTCATCAAGGTATAAGGTACTACCCTTAAATAATTATTTTTGGAAAAACATTAGTCTTGCTTTGTGTTGTAACAAATACTAATCATGAAGAATTTTTCTGAAAAGTTTATTCATTTTGGAACGAACAAGTCCAGAGGTATCCGTACTTGGCCAACCCGCAGCAGCCATATGAAGATAATTATTACTGTGGTAATAATTTTGAACAGCAACCTCATTCTAGCAAGGTTAATGATACGTGGACCCAGCCTCAAGAAGCCTTACACCAATCCTTCCAGGACAATTCCTACGTACACGGAGAAGGCTATTCTCAGGTGTACGTACCAGTCCTAGAAGATACTACTAATCAGCATGCCAACTTACCAGTGGAGCTTGACATCGATCAAATTATACAGGATAACGCTCAATATCCTGCTTCTGCTAGCGAAATTGAAGAGATTTTAAATATTGGTTCGTGTGAACCAAACCATATTGTACCGAATGAACAGGAGAAAGTACAATCTCAAATACTAATTACTACTCCGTACTCAACGTTTACAGTACCTGTAGAGAAGCCGACTGTGTTCGACTGCGAGGTCTGTTCGAAGACCTTCTCCAAGGGATCCTACTTAACTCAACACCGGAAGGCCTGCCACTCGGGCGATAAGCCCTTTAAGTGCAAAAAGTGTGGCAAACGATTTTCGTCAAAGGAAGAATGTGATGTGCACTACCAAAAACACATGGGGTCGAAGCAATTCCAGTGCAACTACTGCGAGAAACAATTCAACTATAAAATCGACATACGGCGTGATGAAAGCCTACACACAGGGCAAAAACCGTATGCTTGCAGCGTTTGCGCGAAAGGATTCGACAGGCGGGATCACATGAGAAGGCACGAACTGATTCATGCTAGGAAAGGACAGAAAAGTGTTAAAACCACTAATAAATGATTTTTATATATGATTGTTGTTTTGGTGCGGTTTGAATTTTTGAATACTCCCATACCTTCATCAAGGTATAAGATACCCTTAAATAATGAATTTTGGAAAAACATAATTAGTCTTGCTTTGTGTTGTAAGAAATACTCTCAGGACAATTCCTACGTATACAAAGAAGGCTATTCTAAGGTGTACATACCAGTCCAAGAAGATGCTACTAATGAAACATACTCTATCAGCATGCCAACTTACCAGTGGAATAATTTGACATTGATCAAATTATACAGGATAACGCTCAATATCCTGCTTCTGCTAGCGAAATTGAAGAGATTTTGAATATTGGTTCGTGTGAACCAAACCATATTGCATAGAAGGAACAGGTGGAAGTACCATTGCAAATACTAATTACTACTCCGTACTCAACGTTTACAGTACCTCTTGAGAAAGAGAAGAAGACTGTGTTCGACTGCGAGGTCTGTTCGAAGACCTTCTCCAAGGGATCCTACTTGATTCAACACCGGAAGGCCTGCCACTCGGGCGATAGGCCCTTCAAATGCAAAAAATGTGGCAAACGTTTTTCGACAAAGGAAGAATGTGATGTGCACTACCAAAAACACATGGGGTCGAAGCAATTCCAGTGCAACTACTGCGAGAAACAATTCAACTATAAAATCGACATACCTAATGACATGGCTAATAAATGATTTGTATATATGATTGTTGTTGTGGTAGTGAAATTTAAAATGTTTACTGTAACATAATGCGATATTAAAAGTGCAAATCAAAGACTAAACCCAAGTTCGTTTAGTGGTGCACAAAATTGCAAGCCAGAAGACGGCTAGACCGTTCGTAGCTTAGCGTAAGGGGCGACAGAAGCGCATAATGTTCCCCGTTTGAGGGTTAATTAGACTGTCGGGGGACGAGGGGGCCTGCACTAACGCCCTGGCACCGGGTATCACCGATATTGGTGCTATGCAGCTTACCGCTTCCAATGCTACCACTACGACGGGGCCAAACTATTTTCCACGGGATGAATCACGATGCAACTGCTAAGTGAAAATGAGATAAGGTTAATGAAAATCTTATTAAGCTGGTTTGGGATATTAAAATTTATGTCTTTGCTTAAGAATATTTGTTACAAAAATTGTATTTTCTTGCGGGAAAGCTTATTAAGTAAAATTTGGGACATATTGACGCAGGTAGAGGCATTAAAACTTTTAAGTCTCCAAAAACTGGCGCACATTTTCCACCCCTCTGCCATTCTGGCTGTATAATGTATTACCACTTCACAACTTGTGTTTTTCTCTGGTGTTTTCCGAAATGCTAATAATGTGTAAATGAATGTAAATTAACGAATTTCCCGTTCCGCTTTTCTATTTTCATTCTTATACATGACTCGACATTATGTTATTTTAGTCGATTAAAGAGAAAAGTGTTTGTGGTTAGCATTAAATTTCGGATTATTTACCCCATCTTTATTTTCGGTTCAAATTTATTATTCATCGTTCATGCTGTTGTTATTGTTTTGTAGCATAAATACGTTTAAATTAAAACCCTCATTAGCAAAATTATTGCACAATTTATCTACCTAATCTTTAAAAATGAATTAGTCATAAATGACTATAGTTTTCAAAGTGAAAAAACAGCCACTAATAACTGTAGTCCACAAAAATTCGTATTTACATTAAACAATCAATTCTTATGTAAAGTACCGTCAAAATTAGAGATATTGTCAATTCCATGTTTTATGGAAAATACACTATATCTCAAAACTGTTCCACTTTTATGACTTTTATTAAATTTCTGTTTAAAAATGATTATAATTATAAATTTTATAAAATACTCATTTTTGGTTCGTTCTTATTGATAAACATTGAAATAAAGTTGTATTCACATGTTTGGCCTCAAAGCAGCGCATAAAATCCAATAAGGAAGTTTTCAGTGTTTTTTAATGGCCCAAGTTACCAACAATGATTTACATAGAGGTTTTAAAAAAGTCAAACAATGTTACAAAGAAAGTATAGTTTAAATATAACTTTGAAAAGTATATAGGTCAAAGTTAAAAGTTTTGTTCAAAAACTGCTATTAAAAAGTTATACTTAGAAGAGATTGGGGTTAAGAAACTTTGGGGAACTTGAAATTATTGCAGATTACTTAAATTGTTTATGAAGGACAATTAAATAATTAACGTTTGTTTTTTAGGTTATCTTAAAAGTACCAAATACAATCTTCGTTTCATTGATTTTCAAACAGCACTAAATACACAGTTAAAAATATTTGTTAACTTTAACCAAATATTAACTAGATTTTATGTTAATCCAGGTCCACATAACTTTAGAAACAATTTTAATATGTTGCTTTATTAATCATAAATGAACAAAAAAATAATATACACACTAGGGTGCTTCAAAAACTAAAATTTAATTTTTTTTCGCTCTTACCCTCTTAAATGAGTCTATTTAATATAAAAAATATCCCCACCAAATATGGGCGTTCCAGCTCAACTCTGTTTTTATTTTAGTTTCCCATTTAATTAACATGGGAAAAATAATTTTATGCTTGGAATTTTATACCTCTGTATCAAAGTAACAATGATCATTGCAGTTTCTTATATAAAATGTAACGCTCTACAAAAAAGGTCTCTTATTATTTTTCGATAAATTGATTTCTTCTAGAGTTATTCGAGGTTAAAGTTTGATTAACATCAAATTTTCTGGTTTTTTTAATTTTATGGTACAATTAGCAGACGGGAGGTAAAACAATGCAGCGAGGGGGCAAAAGGGGTACCCAAAAAATTTCGTAAAAAAAAATTTTTTTTAGATTGTTTTTTTCGGTTTCTAAATTATTTGAAAATTGACTCACAAGTTCACGCTTTTAATCGAAAATAATTATTCTGAGCCTGTAGAGCGAGAAAAAGGATGGTAAAATTTTGGAAAACTTTTCATATGCTCATTTTTTGTATATTACCTTTACAAAACTTTTGGAAAAATGTTTTCCTTTGCAAAATAAAAAAAATATATAAATAATAAAAGTTTTTAAAGGGTTTGAATTTTAAAGAATTTTTACTTTTTCTCCACAAGTAAAGTGAATTTCTCTTGGGAGATAAATCTAACGTAATGTGTGGAAATGACCGAATTCTTACAATCCATAAATCTGGATTCCCGATGCAGTCTTATTTTATTTAGATTTTCGTCCGATCACGAGAAATGTATAGGTTTTCAGGATCATTTGTCGTGTTATAAAACGCCTAGTCCTCCGAACATTTCCATGAGAATATTCGCGGAAGCGCCTTGTAAATAATTCAGAGTGACCCTCTAATAGAGGTCCGTCGCATTTTCAATACTTTAGGCCGAGTTATGGCAGCCAGCAAAAGCATTTACATATTGGGGGAATCCGCAGGCAAATGGGCCCGGATGTTTGGACATTATACGACACGCCGAGCCGATATGTCACTATCGATAAATTCAAAGAATTTTACTTCACTCCATCTCCAGATTTACCCTTCTTCAATACTTACATATTAATATTTTAGTTTGGAATTCAATAAATATAACGTTTTTATGCCTTTAAATGTTGGAAATGTTTCTACGAAATATCGAATATGAATGCTTAAAGTTATTAAGAGTTTTATCAAACCAAATTTTTTTTTTAATTTTATAGCAAGTGAAAGAAGATTTTAAATGTTCAAAATAGAAGGAATGTACTGTACATTTGTTAATTTTAACCAAATATTAATCATATTTTAAGTCAATTCAGGTCCACATACTTTATTATTTATAGCAATATACTAAATATATTACTAAAATTATTTTAAAAATTGTATTCTAAAATTTAATAATAAAATGTGGTTTTGTTAATAGTAACCTGGGATAAGTTAGAGCCTATTGACTTAATGTTAATGGATATATAACTTATAGGTTATATACTCAGTTTGTTCCAAATATTTAGGAAAATATCAGAAATTATAATATAAATTGGTAACTCTTATTTTCTGATAAATAAACTTATACCTTGGTATGCTGATATTAAGTATAAGTTGCAATAATTATCAGCATTTGAATGTTATTGCAAAATATAATATTCTTCATAATCATAATCAAAAATTAACTTTTATGAGTGATTAACAGCTGATAGGCATGATGTACGCTGCGTATGCCTATAGACTTATAAGTCAGTGAGAATGCTCATGCGGTAAGGTTGATACAATGACAGACCAGAACACCGAAGAATTATTAGAACTTTGGGGTTTGTACTTACTTATTATAAATATCTACCTTTGCTTTTCCAAAAGCTGTGCTATATAAGAGATATACCATAATTAATACGCCGAAATCGTGTTTTTGCCACCATGAGAGAAGTAACAAGCGTTTGAACCATGAGGTTATTTGTTGTTGTTTTCTAAACAATTGAGTAATAGTTTATATTAGTATTAATAATTATCATCTAAATTGTTTTAATGCTGGTGGATGTACATAAGTATTATTTGTTAAATTAAACTTCGTATTTATACTTTTTAAGCTGTTTTCATAATCATATGCTAACATAATACTTACTTTCATAGATTAACTATTAGCTGATGGAAAAATAACTGATAACAGTTAGTAAATGCAATATTTAAAATAATAAGGTAAATTTAATAGCCATTAAGGTGATTTAACTATTATTATTTTAAAACCTTTCTATTAATAAATGAAAGGTAAGATTAAGTACTTCTTTATACCTTGTAGTATTATAAGTTCATATAGGTTTGGCAGAATACGAATCCTTGTAACAGTTTAAAATGATTACAAACCCTATATTATGTTAAAATTTCACAAAATAAAATTAACAAACTACAAACTCATGTTAACAAATCTGATTTTTATAACAGTGTTTGGAACAGGTTCCAAATAACTTGGGCATTTTGAGAGAGCCTAGTGGTAAATATAATTGATTCCGTCTTTGCAGAAAAAATAATAATAATAATGCAATAAATAAAAATAATGAATTCATTAAAAATATCATCGACATTGGATAATGTTAAAAAAATGTAAAACGAAGAAATAAAAACCGAAATTGCACGATAAATCCCAATATAGATCACAGTGTATTGAAAGCGTAAGCCCTCGATTACAATGGATGTGGGTTGTTCGGCGGTCGGTGAAAAAAATAAATAAATAAAAAGACCTTATTGTCGGGATGGCTGCAATTTTTAATAATGGTCTGTCGTGGCGAGTGCACGTACTATCGATTGCACATAAAGCCCGGTTATTTGTAGGACTTATTTGGAAAATACTGTCCGTGTCCCCAAGCCATATATCCTGATCCCCGTTCCGGGACAATGGTCCTGCAGGACGGCTCCTGCTGCTGCTGCTGCCGCTCCTGCCCGCTCCGTCACAAAAGAACCAAAAACGTACTTTTTAACTGGCAGATCGACTAATTTAAGTTTTCAACCCGGAAACATCATTAAAATACTGAAAAATGTAATTAAAACTAAAAAAGTTTTATGTTTCTTTCAACTAAAGCCGTTGGTTGTTTTAAATGTATTATTTTAATGTGTTTCTGGTGCCATTTTTTACTCTCAACTTAAAAAACGCCCATTAACGTATACGTATACATGTTTGCATTACACTAAGCTATAGCTGAGAGAAAAAGTGTAGTTTATAGTTAACAAATCTTTATTTGGATAGCATTTATTTACAATAAATAAAGTAAATTTATTGTTAATCAACCTTTTTAACTATTAATAATCTGCGTAATATATTTTATTTAGCAAAAACAAATACTTTGTTTGTTGCCCATATGTTTATTATTAATAATGCAAATTTGGGAATAATAAATACCTATGTGCTTAGGCGATCTTTAAAAGTTATTTATTATAAATTTCGAATTTATTTTTAAGTAGGAATCAATATTAACAATGAATAAATATTTATTTCTTGTTTACTGTACTCAAACTTCTGTCAAAACACACCAAAACAGCATAGACGTTTCTCGAATAGTGCATGGTGTACCTACCGCGTGCGTATGGTGTACCACTTGCCTTTCCAAGTTTACTGATTCTGTTCTGTGTACTGTTAAGTTTAGTGATTCTGTTCTTTGCACTGTTATTTATCTATGCATTAGTGTTTCGTTTGCAATGTTTTTGTAATAGCATTAATTGTACCTATAGTGCCAGTGTAAAATACCGGCTCTTTCATGTGTGCCGGCTAGTGTATCTCTGCGATTATTAAAAAATCCAAACATGCATGGAAGATCTGCAAACCATGGACGAGCTATGCAAATTTTTAGGAAGCAATGGATTCAACGACTTGCTGGATACATTTATAGTGAATTAAAGTATAGGGTTTACAGATGAAGTTTTATGTCTTCTAAATATTTTAGTATTTATTATAAACAAGCATTTATTTATCACAAATAAAACACATTTATTATAAATTAATCATTATTTATTATAAACAAGCATTTATTTATTAACAAAAAAACATATTTATTATAAATTTTTCTTTATTTTTTAATAAAAAGATTTATTTAAACAATTTTAATCAATGCGTTGTTTGTCCTAAATAAATGTTCATTCCGCCATAATCGAATAAAGCATTTATTAGTTATTGATAAATCTAGTTAATTGTTAATAAACTGTTCTCTCATATATGGTTATTTAATCAGGGGAAGAAGTTAGTTCGTATAGATGTCGCCTTATATAAATACTTAATTTAAATCATTTTTTTGGATACACGGAGAGAAAAGTATAATGCTGATTACCATAATTATAATACCCTTTACTATAATTTATATTACTATTTGGGACAACTATCTTGTATATTGCCAGATACTATGCATATTTAGTAGGTAATTTTTAAATATCCATGTATGTTAAACCTTAGAAGGTAAAATATTAATTTTCTCAACCAATTTTGTTTTTAATTCTTAAATCGAATATTTTTATATGTTAACAATTAAAAATTGTAACATATTTATTGTACTTTTTAATATACAAAAATGTTATGAGAAAGAATTGAACCTACACCTCGCCAAAGTTTTTTGTTTTGAGTGCGTTCCATCAATTTCAAATAGGGACAGACAGGTGTTTTTACCTATATTGGGTATCATCAGGGTCGACACGACACTGTCGAGCAACTTGTAGTAGTGGAACACACCCAAAACAAAGAAATACCTGAGCTTATATAACATGGTTGGTAAGCCAACAGAGGCGAGATGTAAGAACATCACTTGATCCACACTGTCTAACGACGCGTCGCGACGTGGCCTTTGCAGCAATCGGTACATACTATGCAGCCAAGTAGGTTCAATTATTTCTTATAAGTATTACCAGTAATGGGTCAAGAAAGTTTATTGAAGAAACTAAGAAAATTGAATGTTTAAAATTTCATGAGTTACTATATTGTATATTATATATAAATATATTGTTTATTTACCTTAAACATAAAAGTATCTTTATTTTCACTATATTTTTTATTAATGTGTAATATATTATAATATTAGATGTACACCTTACATTTGATTAAATCATATAGTAAATATTACTATTTGTAGATAGTAAAATCAATTTACTATACGAACATATTAAAAATTAATATATATTTTATACATTTATGATTTAGTAATATTGGTGTTGTAATCTTTACTAAAATTGTATAATAAAAAATAGTATTTTGTATTACGATCTTAATATTGTATTGACGAATATATAATATTGTTACCCTAAAAATTTGTTAAAGTAAATTTTGCTATATTTTTTTTACTATCTAAAATTTACTATACATTTCTCTCCGTGTAGTATAGCATATATGCAACTCGTTTATAAACATTTCTAGGCACTCATTTAATTAAGCACTCTCCCGGCGATACATAATATACTTTTAAAAATATTTTCTTAGATTAAACGCTTTTATTGTTATATCCTTATTATCGTTAGCTTTTTTAACATTCCGCGTAACTTTCTGTAAAATTCATTAAAATTATATTTTTATCAACGCGATCCAGTAGTAAATTCGGTGCTTGTCGTCGTATCTTCCAATATTAATATCGACGGCAGCATCTGCGGCAATCCCCCTCAAAATCCGGCGTCTATAAATCGCGCCTCTCTTTTAGACTTTGAATTCTAATTAACATTTGGTTCTCCCATTAGTGTAATTAAAGTGTCGTTCTCTAACCTAGCGGTACCTTATCTTATCGCCGTAGCCTGCATTGCTGGCGCGCCGACTGAGCCTAAGGCAACCCCATCTTAAACGCTAATCCTTAAATATTACTGTGACACTTTTTAAAACTGAAAATGAGTTGGGAAAACGAATTAAGTCCACTACAAAGATGTAAGTATGGAAACAAAAAATATAACATGCAGTATGTTGAATGCAGCAAAAGTCTAAAGAGAAGAGCAGAACGTAAAGAGAAGAAAAAGATTGACGGTTAAAAAATAAATAAAACGAAATAACCCTAAAAATCACGTGTTCTTTTAGACGAGAATGACAGATTGATAATTTTGGTTGGACACAGTCAACATTATCGTTTATTACTGCAAAACTGTGCGGTGAAAGTTTATAAAAATTTATATGGAACTTCTACAGGCATACGAGAAAAAAAATTATTCCTTTTTTAATGTCCAGTTATAAGATATGTGCTTTATAGGAGGTGTATTTAATTATAATATGACTATAAGAAATCATTGATTTTTTTCTTGTATGCACTTTTTGTTAACATTCACAACACGGTTAAGCAATAATTAACGACAACAGCCCGTGTAGTCTTAGCAACTTTATTAATTTTTTACTCTGAAACCAGACGGGAATCTTAAAACTTTGTGAATGTTTTTTAAGTAGACATTTTTTCAAAACGACTTAAATACAATTGAAAAAGTTTGTAAATTTTAAAAAGTTTGTAATGTTTCTTAAAATTGATTTTTTTTAAATTGTGATAACCTTGTAAATAACGAAAATTTTGCAAATTTTTGAAAATTTGTTAATTTGAAAGATTTTAAATTTGAATTATTTAATGATTTTGATATGCAGATAAGCTAATTTTAAAAAATTTCAAATTTTTTGATTTTTAATATAAAAGTCCAAAAACTAAAAACTGCTCTCCAAAATTAGTATGGTAGGGTCTATCTAAAAATTGCATGCAAAAATTAGCAAATTATGACAATTTTTTATTGGTTCATTGTTGAAGTGTACAGAATATGTTTTTAAAATGAATAATAAAAACCAGAAAAATAAAATTACAATAATCAAAATTTTTATAATAAAGCAAAATTTGTACTTCAACAAAAAGGGGTGTAAAAATTACAAAACATTTAAAAAGGGGCAGTTTTTCATTTTTAAAACCTAAAAAATAATCTTAATTTTTTTTAGCAAAATCTAAAACCATGTAGAAGAGTAATTTGACGTTTAGTATATTATTATAATACGAGGATGAGTGATGAATGCGCATACTCTCGAGTGTAATACTATACTTTATGTATTTTGCGTTCATAATAACACCGCTTTCGGTGCTGTAATGAGATACTTTATCCCACCCAAAATTTTGATTTTATAGGTTGGCTATACTTTAAACAGCATAATATTTTACATATTGGTTATAATATTTTCATGATTTTTCCAGTACAATAAATTTTGTTTAACACCAGAGAAAAGCCTTTTTTTCTTCTTTAACATTAACAGCCGCTTATTGTAAATAAATAAATTAAGGACGGCATGGCGAATCGACTTTGACATTAACTGTCAAACCAATGACTGTGATACCAACTTTTTAAGTAAAATTCGACCAAATTAAATTTAAGGCATAAAATTAATTTTTTTATAGAATTTTTGCAAAATAGATAAAATAGCATAAAGAACTCATGTCATAAGACCTTTTGGCGCACTCGTCCATTACAATATATATAAATGTCCGCGTGCGACAAAATGACGTCTTTTTTCTTCTTTTTTTTATGTAGAGGGGGCCGTAGTTAAAAAAATATATAGGAACTAATATTATTTTTATTATCCGGGAGATTGCCCACATATTCTGGGACACCCTGTATACGAAAAAGACCAAATAGTATGCAATATGAGTAGATAAATAAAATTATTAACTAATTTTTGGACTAATTGATCGCTCATTTATTTCTTGTCTTGTCTGTAAGCCAATAGGCTTAAATTTATGTGAAACCGACCCGAGGAAACTTCTTAAAGGCATTTAAGGACCTGGACAACGTTAGCCCGAAGGCGTTGCACATATTAATGAAGTAATTTAGTTATATGACAAGATAAATACAGGAGCTAATCCTCGCAGCACCGCTCCATCTTCCCTTGGGGGTACGCCGCTTCAAAATTATTTATTACTGTATACGTGTATTCTCGAAGATGAAAATATTGCGCAAAAATATTAATCGATTTATGTAATTTAGTATAATAATATACAAATTGTTGTTATTAAATTAAGAAATCACACGATATAAAAATTACAAAAAAACATAAGTTATTTATAGAAATTAAATAATAAAATCTATGCATGGGAAATCCCTGTTTTAGCGTTCAATGGTTTGTTTACAGTTTTACCACCATATAATATATACTCAGTAGGTGAAGGTTGTTCAGTTGATTGCCACCTACCGCACAAACATGTCTAATAATCTGCGCATTCCAACTATTTTACTAGTGTTTCTATTTGCTGTATCCAACGCAAGTGACTGTGTCAAAGAAAAAATACAGTATGATATCGCAAGATTTACTTCAAGCTATAAAGAAGAAATAGAACACCACGACGATGTCGTCATTAAAAACGACAAAGAAGCTTTTTACATTAACATTACCGGTCCAGTGAAAAGTTTCTGCAAGGGTTCCATAAATATCTCCGTAAGATCCCATCACTTTTGGTGCGGCGTTTCAACATTAAAAACCATAGAAGTTGGGGCGTTTGACAATCAAATCATAGACAGTCAATTTATAATATCAGGTAACAAAATCAAAGTTGTGCAGACAGGATTATTCCACGATTTACAAGTTGAATTAATGGATTTAATTTACAATGAAATTGAAGAAATTCAGGAAAACTCAATTGTGAACTTACCTCAGCTGACTACGTTGCATCTAAGCCACAATAAGATATCAAACTTACATCCTAATGCTATAAGAAACACACCTAAACTACAATGGTTTGATATCAGCAATAATAACCTCAAAACCCTTGGTCCAAAGGTTTTCGACTTTCTTAGAAAGGAAGTTATAGTCGGTATAGGCGTTAGCGGAAATAATTTGGAAAAAATCGACCCGAAAGCTTTCGAAGGCCTAAACATTTACACTCTAGGTTTGGACAATAATCACCTGTCAACCATCCCAGACACTATCTTCACCAACAACAAGGAATTAAGTGAGATTCATTTGGCGAACAATAGTTTAACCTCGTTGAGTGACAAGTTTTTCGAAATGAAGACTTTAAATTTTATTTATCTGAGTGGGAATGACTTTAAGTGCGATACTATTTTAAAATTAAGGGATTTGTTTAAGAGGGGAGGTTATGTTAAGGAGTCACCTAAAAATGGAAGATTTGTGAAGATTCTTAGTTACGACGAAAAAGATTGTTAGTTTTAATTCTCAGGGACACCTTGTATATTAGTAAAAATAAATCTATAAAAAAGTAATCATTTTATTTCAGGTAGCATTCAGATTGAAAATTGAATTTCGAGACAGAGAAAGATAATAATTCGGGCTTTTATCCAACAACAATAACAATAATATCCGGTTTTATGTTACACAAATTGTTGTTATTAAATTAAGATATCACACGATATAAAAATTAAAAAAAAACATAAACAACAAAGTATATTTATAGAAATTAAATAATAAAATCTATGCATGGGAAATCCCTGTTTTAGCGTTCAATGGTTTGTTTACAGTTTTACCACCATATATTATACACAGTAGGTGAAGGTTGTTCAGTTGATTGCCACCTACCGCATAAACATGTCTACTAATCTGCTCATTTTAACTATTTTACTAGTGTTCCTATTCACTTTATCCAACGCAAGTGACTGTGTCAAAGACAAAATACAATATGATATCGCAAGATTTACTTCAAGCTATACAGAAGAAAAAGAACACCACGACGATGTTGTCATTAAAAACGACAAAGAAGCTTATTACATTAACATCACCGGTCCAGTGAAAAGTTTCTGCAAGGGCTCCATAAATATCTCCGTAAGATCCCATCACTTTTGGTGCGACGTTTCAACATTAGAAACCATAGAAGTTGGAGCGTTTGACAATCAAATCATAGACAGTCAATTTAGAATATCAGGTAACAAAATCAAAGTTGTGCAGACAGGATTGTTCCACGATTTACAAGTTGAATCAATGGATTTAATTAACAATGAAATTGAAGAGATTCAGGAAAACTCAATTGTGAACTTACCGCAGCTGACTACGTTGCATCTAAGCCACAATAAGATATCAAAGTTACATCCTAATGCTATAAGAAACACACCTAAACTACAATGGTTTGATATCAGCTACAATAACCTCAAAACCCTTGGTCCAAAGGTTTTCGACTTTCTTAGCAAAAAGGGTATAGTCGGTATAGGCGTTAGCGGAAATAATTTGGAAAAAATCGACCCGAAAGCTTTCGAAGGCCTAAACATTTACACTCTAGGCTTGGACAATAATCACCTGTCAACCATTCCAGACACTATCTTCACCAACAACAAGGAATTAAGTGAGATTCATTTGGCGAACAATAGTTTAACCTCGTTGAGTGACAAGTTTTTTGAAATGAAGACTTTAAATTTTATTTATCTCAGTGGGAATGACTTTAAGTGCGATACTATTTTAAAATTAAGGGATTTGTTTAAGAGGGGAGGCTATGTTAAGGAGTCACCTAAAAATGGAAGATTTGTGAAGATTCTTAGTTACGACGAAAAAGATTGTTAGTTTTAACCTTGTATATTAGTAAAAATAAATGCATAAAAAGTAATCATTTTAATTCAGGTAGCATTCAGATTGGAAATTGAATTTCGAGACAGGATTCGGGCTTTTATCCCGATGAAAATTAATTCGAATTATAATCGCGCGGAGTCGCCATTCACCAAACTACTTTTACGACACAATTTATTCGCTCGCGCTAGGAAAAAGTTGTCGCTATTATTGACTGAACGCTTTTAATAAAACAAATCCGAGGAACAAACAGCCTCCAGTTAATTACGATAATTGAACGTCGATCGAATTTTCCAGCTACATTCAGCGGACTCTTTTTAAATGTAATTGCATCGAAAACTTTTCGGCCAGCTCTCTCTGAATAACACTATACGAGGGTCAATCTAAAAACGATTTAATATCAGTAGTTTTATTATTTTCCAATAGTTAGTTTGCATTAACAAAAACAACTATTTTTATATTAAAAACATATATTTTACGTTATAGTTTATTATGTATCAAGTTTGATAAATGCCATTTTAGTCACGATTTTAATTTAGTGCTTAATTTAATGACTGTCTAGAAAATTTATTCAAAAGTGCTCTTTTTTATATTAAAAACATACATTTTACATACATACATTTTACGGTATAGTTTATTATGTATCAAGTTTGATAAATGCCATTTTAGTCACGATTTTAATTTAGTGCTTAATTTAATGAGTGTCTAGAAAAGTTTATACAAAAGTGCTCTTTTACAAAGTGCTAAATATATACTTTTTCTACACTCATAAATTTTTTAAATAAATATAACAAAAAAAGTAGTTTGTCTTATAAAAATTATTTATCTACAAAAGCTGCTTTCAGTAATAGCATTTACATTAATTATAAAGTAAATTTACGTTATGTTTATAAAAACAACACTCTTTCAGATGCAGAAACGCATTGATAAATATAGTTATTATTATTTGTCCAAAAAACAGTTCTTTATCGTTTACAAAAACGTTTTGTAGTATTATAATGAAATCCTAATGCCATTAGGGTAATGGTATTATTCAAACAAATTTTGTAGATTTTACAAATCCCTTGTCGTTTAAAATAAAACTTTTTTTTGTAATATTAATAAAATTGATGTAAATTTAACAACAAATTAATTGTTAATTCAATAAACTATTTTCTTTATAACAATGGTCACATTTTCAATAATTTCAAGGCATGCCTTAATGCATTAATAGTATATATACACGAATTTAATTTAGGCACGAGCAAGCTTGCGAGCGAGTGCTTAAATTAATGAGTGTATAGAAAAGTTTATAAACGAGGTGCATACTATACTTTTTCTACGACAAATGCTTAATATTATCTTAAAATAATTTAAATCAAAAATTTGTATAGAGCGCCATCTATGAAACAATAGAGGAAACTGTGTGTTACCGTCAAATGTCACATTTTTACATTTTATAAACACAATTATAAAGGTTATATATGAATCGAAATTTATCTTGAAAATTAACAGTTTTTCACAGTGAATGTAAAGTAAATGTTTTATGAGGACTTTACAGTAGTCCGTGCCCGAATTTAAGTTATAGTTTACTGCCGGCGAAATTAAAAGGTCAGTACAATGTTCATATAAACTTTTCAAATATTGGCGTTGAGAAACTATTTAATATTTTTGTATTTTTGTATTGTGATAATAAGATAATTTTCACATTTAGTATTATTTTACAAGAAAGGCACTTTATTTTAACGATTATATGACATTTGACAACTGTCAACTAACTTAAAACTAACTTCAGCCCGTGACTAAAGCGCCATAAAGCCACAACTTGTCATTGTGTATTTAAAAGGTCACTTAGTGTCTTGGAAACATGTACGATAAAGGACGTTTTAAAGGTGGGAGTAGAAAAAACAAATTATTTATTATAACAAAAATATTAACTCATATTATATGATGAAAAAAAGATGAACTCACTTTTTAAACATCAAGTCTGGTTCGTTTATAGAATAGACCTTAAATATTTCTTTTAGAAAACGTCGAAATTTTAATTTTCTTAGTGATCTTTTTATCATGCTAGATTTTACCATACTTCACTCGCATAAGTAAAATCAATAAGATTATAACACAGACTGTGGATTATAAAGTTATGTTCACCAAGGAGAGCGCTGGCCCTTTCCCCCTCTTTTTAAGGGAAATAACAAAAATTTTGTTTTCATTGCCAAACAATAGTAAATATTAAAAAAGTTTTTTTATAGCAATAAAATATTTTTGTTATTGTTCTTAACGTAAGCTATTAACAAAGATTTTCTAACTGAAATAAAATTAATTTGAATTACAACGATAGTAATTTAAAAAAGACAAATATGCCTAAGTAAAATGAACAAATTTTACTATAACAACTGCGCATTACTTTATGTAAGGGCAATTCACACACAACCATAGATTTAACAAAAACATTTTAAGTTCGACCAAGATTTAATATAAACATAAAGGTTTTCTTATTGCCATAACAATATTATAATAACTATTACTTATAAAAGATCAACATTTCTGCTTCATTATAGTAAATGATAATTTTATTAACAGTAAAAATCATTTTTAATTATTATAACGTTGCTAACTTCAGTTCGTGACTAAAGGTCACTAAATGTGATGGAAACATGTACGATATTCGGCGTTTTAAAGGTGAAAGTAGAAAAATATATTATTATTATAATTATCAAACATTTTGAAATTGTAAAATTAGAAGCATTTTGTCGTTTTCACACAGTATGCTAGAGACTTATTGATTTATGTCCTAGGGGAAAATCGAATTTCACTGGAGAAATTAAATTTTCCATTTGACAGTGGACGTCCTAGGAAAAACATTGTGCTATATGCTTTGAATAGTAAACACCCCAGAACGGACAAAAGTCACCCTTCATCTTTTCCATCATAAAAGTTTTTGGCATTTTGACGCTCATGCTGTGAAATTTTCTTTTTCCGTAGAATAAATTACTTTACGTTTTATTTAATTTTTAAGGGAAAATAGCTTATGATAAAACGTACAATTTAGTGGTATGAATATTGTTACATTTTATTTGTTACTTCGTATAGAAGAAAAATAAAAAATCACAAAAAACATTCATGCAAATCAGCAAGTCACAGTATCAGTGGCTGGTGAAGTTTTTGGGGTTGGGTTGGTATAAGCGTAGCGGCTTGGTATTTGCATATGGAGGGACGGCTAGGACATGTGGCGTCAGGATGGACAACATAAAAAGACGCGTCCAGTTAGAAAGATGCGACCGTTTCCGGTCGCAACAACTGTCACCGGACTGAAGAAGTCGTGCATACATATTCGAACATTATGCGCCCGGACACATAATGTATACAAATTGGCGCATGTGACGTACGAAAGGATTTTAGAAGAAAAAATTCGTTTGCATTTTTTAAGTTTTAGTTATTTTGTAAATATATTTAAACTTGATACACTGTTATGAAAATCAGATTTGTTAACATGAGTTTGTAGTTTGTTAATTTTATTATGTACAATTAAAAAAAAATCTGCATAAGCGGAAAAGTTGTGAAACAGGAAAGTAAACTATTTTCCTTTGATATATTTTTTTCTTTTTTAATGTTTTGAACTGTATGAAGTTATTGAAAAGACTGCGTAAAATGAAATTTTTTTTAAAGATTTTTGTGTTTGA